ATGAAGGTCGTCCGCAGCCTTCGCCAGCGCGCGCTTTCCTTGTTTGGTTGGGGCGTGGGGGTCACTATCCTCTTGGGACTACTGGTGGTGGCGGGCTTCGCAGTCGCGCCAATGGCGGCGCCCGCGGTCACCGCTGGCGCCACGGCCGTGCTGGCGCTCTCGCCTCACTTACTCCTGTGGTTGCTGGCGGGATGTTTGCCGGTCGCGGCGCTGGCAGGGGGCAGCGCCTACGTGTATACGTTGTTCGAGCCCGTCATCACGATCTGGAGGTTCGACCCACTTGTGGCCCTGGCGGTCCTCGCTACCGTTGCTGGGAGCTCCCTGCGCATGGTGGAGGTCGGATGGGCTCTGAGGACTGGCACGGCGTACTACTACTCCAGCGTGATGCTTACCCAAGAGTTCCTGGCCCCGTACAGCCAGCGCCTGGAGACGGGCCAATGGCGGAGCTTCTGCCGGAGGCACGCCTGGCGCGTCGCAGGATTTCAGAGCCCCGAGTCATCAGGGGTAACTCGGGTCAGGGCTAACTCGGGTTCGTTTTTCGGGAATCCGAACCCGAGTTACCCCAGACCCGACTTACCCCGCATAGCTCGGGCGCCCAAGGATTCGGGCTGCCGGTGACACTGCTGGTGCAGAAGCAGCCACTCGCGGCCGTGGCTCTGCTTCAGATCGTCCACGCCGCCTCCGCCGTCCTGCTCGCGGACATGCTCGGTGCCGATGGCCACACGGCCTAGGTGGTGAGTGCGCGGAGGCGACCGTCGGCGACGAGCGGCGCGACGTTGCGCAGCAAAGGGCACGTGGTGGAGCGTTGCGGAGGAGCGGCGATGGGGAGGGGCGGTGGCGGCTGTCACTGCATTCAGAGGAGCACGTCCCGAGGAAAGCAGCACGCACCACGACCACGCCGACGCCGACGCCGACACGCCGGCGCCGGCGCCGACGACGACGAACGAGGCGAGGCGCGCTTATGATCCGCACCGAAGCACGGACCCCGCGAGGTCAGGTACATGGCACATCGTTGAGCGGGAGCGGAGGGGGACAGTGCTTCGCCACATGCCGACTCGCGCGTGGCATTCCAACCGCCGCGAGTGCGAAGCCACCCTCTGGGCAGGCCCTCCTTGGAGGCACCGTCGGCTGTCAGGGCAGCTCTTCTTGCTCGAGGTTCATCTCAAGTTTTTCTGTCGTTGGCACGGGGCATGGGCCATGCCGCTGTTCGGAAAGAGCTCGTCAACAGTCGTGCGCCTTCTCTCCCAGGTACGTCTCGAGAGAACGGGTACGAAGGCCAATTCGGGATCTCACCCATACGATCGCAAGATACTTGAGAGCATCTCTTTAAAGAGTTTGGCCTCGAAGTGATTGCTGGTGCACTGCGAGTCCTCGAAAGCGTATGCTGCTTAGCTCTCTACTTATTTGAGGGGCATTCAGATCGAAGTTTCGGGCGCAATCCTTCTGCCGCCTTCACGTCTCTCCACGGGGCACGCGCGAGACTGAGCTCAGGAGAGCGTGCCCTACCTGCTCGCTGCTCACGATCATGACTATGGCCATCGTTAAATCAGCGCTCGGCCCGGCTGCTTGTGTGCGAACTTTCGGGTCCAGGCAGCGCGGGAAAAGGCTGTGGCCAGTCTGCATGCGTGTGCGGCCTCGGCGGGCCCTTCTCTGGGCTCAGGGGCCGTCCAAAAAACACGACTCTCGGGATGCAAAGCCGGCCCTCGGGGAAGGCAAGGGCCATGTCGATCCGACCGATCCGACTCAAATGTCGACATCGCCCGTCTGGACCCGACTCGATTTCGGTTTCCCAGCGATCCGATGCGGCCCGATGCCTGCATGGCGCCGTTGTGCATCCTGGCGCAGCCGATCCGATTCGATTTCGACTCCGTGCCAATGCAGCCCGATGCTACCCACATTCCGAGTCGTTCCGATTTGTCGATTCGATGCTGACTGGTCCTAGGAAGGGGTCGAGATCCTCGTTGCCGCGCACAGGGCGACAACCGCTGCGGAAGCGGCACGTGGCTTCACATGGGGCAGGGTGGCATTCTGTGACGGACGGAGACGCCAACGGCGGCGCAGTCCTCCGAGCATCCCGAGCGCGGCGCGTTGCTCGCCAGGGCCAGCGACGCCAGGGCAGCCGCGGCGCTCTGCCGCGTCGCGCTGGAGTGCCAGCAGCTGGCCAGAGGCGTGCGCGGGGGGCGGCGCGGGGGGGGGAGTGTCGGAGGTTGATATACCTCCTACCTTGGCACGTCGATGATCGATGAGCGAATTGGCCGTTTTCGGTTCGCGAGAGGGCGTCGCGGCCGTCCTTTTTGTGGGTCCAGGTCCCTCGGTTTCGGTCCCAGGCCGTTATCATTAGAAAGGGTGGTTTGCTAAAGGGAGGTTCGTCCACCGCCGAGAGGGGGCCTGGCTGCGGCACGCGTGCCCCGCAGGGAGGCCGAAGCCGTCGCCACGAAACAGGCGGCTCCCGAGGGGAAACCGGCTCCGAGGTCGTTCGCCGTCCCTCGGGCTCTCGAGGCCGTCCCCGGGCGCCCGCGCCGTCCAGAGCCTGCCCAGGACGCAGAGCTGGCCCTTGGGGAATCAGGAGGGGAAAAAACACACACAGGTGAGCATTTTTTTTTTGATTGTTTTTGCTTTCGGCGGAACGCCCCTCCCCCCCCCCTCCCCCCCCCCCGTAGAGAAGTTCCGGGCTGATTTTGGCACCTGCTTCAATCGATCGGACGAACTACAGGGGCCGGCGCCCCCCCCCCCTCCCCCGGTAGAAACTCGAATCGCTGATGTGTGCAACTGTGCGCATTTTATCGTGCTACTCTTCTGGAACCACAACGAAAGGGCTCAGGGGCGCCAGACCCGATCGCCAGAAAGCATGCCTCCGGCTGGGCCCTCCCCTGTTATGCCAGCGACGGCCTCGTGGAATCATGAATAGGTGATCCCTAGCAATTCTGGCACAGGCTTGCCAAATCACGCATAGCCTTGGCGCAGCCCCGCGCAGCCGCTGCGCGATTCCCCCATGGGGGGTCTCCCCTAGGATTCCCTCATCGGCATCTCCCACAGGATTCCCCACATGATTCAATCGGAGGCATTGACTACGGGCCGAGAGCCGGACCCCCCCCCCTCCCCCCCATGCGCCTAAAGCCGGAACCCAGAATAAAAAAATGCTCACCAGGCACAATTGAATCGTCGATTCCCCAGAACAGATGGGCAAATATGGGAAGTGGGGGGGAAGACAAAACCCCCAAATATAGGGGAAAATATGGGGGATTTTTTTTATCTGTGTGTATTTGTTTGTGTGTCCCAGGGCCCCTTCAGGGAAGGCCCCCAGGGTGCAGGACGCACTTCCCCGCAGGACTCCTCCGGGCGCGCTCGCTTCGTGCCGGGGGGAGGCCGCGAGCGGAACTCGGGGCCCGCTGACCAGGAGGGCCCGGCGAGCACCGTGGGGGCTCACGCCCCGTCTGCCACCCTCTCTCGCGCCTGCGCGCCCCGGCGGGGCGCCCGTGCCACTCCGAGATCTCCCGAGGAGCCCCAGCGCCGGGCAGCCCCGGGGTGAAGGTGAGTCGCCCCAGAGCGGTCCGGAACGCTCTCAGAGCGTTCTGGAGCGCCCTGGAACGGCGGCGGCGACGTCGTACATCCTCGAGGCCCGCCAGCTCTGCTCTCTTCCGGCGTCGCAGTTCGTTCATGGCCTCGACCCTCTCCACAGTGCCGGCGTTTCATCGTGAGCCGTTCTTTGACGGTCCTTGTGCCAGGGAGCAGCCCCCCGAGGAAAAACACGTCAAACAGCCGGCGGTCGCGATTTGCTGTGCGTCGCCTGGATCTGAGGGTCTCGCAGTCTAGGCCTCCTAGACGGGGTCTGAGCAGATGGGGTCGGAGGATCGCTCTGCATCGCCGATGCATCGACGAGGCGTCTCGGCGCGGAGCCCCACGCCGACGTCGCCGATGCATCGCCGACGTCGCCGATGCATCGCCGACGCATTGGCGATGCGGCGCGATCCTCCGACCCCATCTGTACGGACCCTATCTAGGAGGCCTCTATTCAGGTTTCCCGATTTCTTTCAGACGATCGTATCTTCGCCCCGCCTTCGTCTTACAGCACTGGCCATCTCGGGAGAGCACGGCGGCAGCAACCCGCAGCCCCCTCCCCCCCCCCACGCACACACACACACACACCCTTTTGAAAGAGTCGCACGCATCGCCTCGCGGGCGCGGACCCGCCGTCGGTTTCACACAGGCGCGCATGGGATGACGTGAGCCGTACAGCCGGGGCCCTCTTCGATCCGATCCAATGTCGATTCTGGCTGGCTCGATCGGATCCGACCCCGATGTTCCGACGGTCGGATGCGGCCCGATGCCCGCGCTTCGCTGTGCATCTCGGCGCGGCCGATCCGATCCGAATTCGGCCCCGTGCCGATGCAGCCCGATCCGACTCACATTTCGATTCGATGCTATTTCCCAGGTCAAGATTGGCTGATCCTGGCCCTGCCTAGAGAGTCGCCTGCGCGTCTGAGATATTCGACGCGCAGGCGAGGAACCCGAGACACCGTGACCCATTGGGGACAACAGGGTCTCGCACGGAGGGTGGCGGCGGCGGGAACGTGCAGATCGCTCCCACCGCTTGTTTGATGCATGCTTGATGCGATGAGCGCACCTGGATGTTGCCTGCAGCCTGGCACTCTGGCCGTCCTGGGTTTGGCAGGTGATGCGCGGTACCGCGCGTGCTGTCTCTAAGTTGGTTGTGCGGTGCCACGCGGGGCCATGCCAGTGTGCCGTGGACGTGAAGTGCCATGTGTGGCGTCCTTATGTCAGACGTGGTCACCCAGTGCTGTGTGGCGCCATTCGTTGGGTGCCGTGGACAGTGCCTTGGTGTGGCTACTCGGTGCCATGGGGTTCCAGGCCACTATGCCGTGAGATGACGTGTGTGCGGAGCTGAGCGTCTGATTTTGTTGCCCAGCTCCGTGTGGGATTGTGCCAATGTATTGTGTACCGCAGTGCACGGAGTCTCTGAGATGGCTCGGTTGCCTGTGCCAGATTGTGCTTCGGTGTAGTGCTGTGTCGCGCCGGGTGGTGTTGAGTTGCCTGGGTGCCGTGTCGTGGTGTGCGTGCGGTGCACCGAGGTCCGCTTTGCCATCAGAGGCCAGGTGCCTTGCCGTGCCGTGCCCCATCAACGTTGCGCGGCCGCGCGCGCAGCGCCTCGAGGTTCGATTTGCAGCACGGCTCGATGCTCCAACAGCCTGGGTGTCCAGGGAACCTCTGCACGCAGGGCTGTGCCGCGGAGCCCGGCTGCCAGAACGAGGGCCACGGGCTCAGCCCGAGCACCGACATTTTTGCCTTTGCAACTTCGAGCGGCCCCGCCGCCGTGTCGGCCGAGGCGCGGCCGCGGCCGCCACCCACCGCCATGCCGCCCCGCCTGCCACCGCCCCCCGCCTGCTCCAGCTCCCCAGTTCTACCCCACGACGCTGCGTCCGCGCCAGCCTCGGCCAGCACCCGTAGGGCCCGCTTCAATCCGATCGACATCGACTCCCCCCGATCCTATCTGGTGCGGCCCGATGCTTGCACGGCGTAGTTGCGTGGTTGTGCATCTTGGCGTGTCCGATCCGATTCGGTTTCGACTCCGCGCCGATGCGGCCGGATGCACGTTCCGGCTCGATCCAGTTCGGGCGTTGCTTCACAGACGGACGGGGGGGTGAAGAAAGGTACACCTTTGGTGCACCTTCGGGGCACCATGGGGGCCCCGTTGGGGCAAGTTCAGAGCCCATTTTCTTGGGTCCTTGCAACCCTCGACCCCCCCACGTATCGCCCATCAAATGCAAAACGCCTGGTAGTTTCCCGATTCGATGCTGACGGATCCTGGCCCCTGGCCGCTGGCACCTGATCACAGTTCGATCGTTCCCCCCCCCGCCGCGGCCGTGGCCCAGGCGGCGGCCACGCTGGCGAGTGTGCTGCCCCGGCAGGCCAGCCGGCGGTGGGCCCCGTGGGCGCGGCGCCAGACCGGAGGGGCGGGGAGGGGTCTCTTTGCATGTCGCAGGAGGAAGGAGGCATAATAATGGTACGTTCCGAGCCGTGGTGATGATGATGATGATGATGATGATGATGATGCTGATGCTGATGCTGATGCTGATGCTGATGCTGATGTTGATGCTGATGCTGATGACGATGGAGGAGGAGGAGGTGGAGGAGGAGGACGATGACGATGACCATACCGATGACGACGATGCTAATACCGATGGCGACGATGACGATGACGATGACGATCATGATGATGATGCTTCTGATGATGAGGATGAGGACGAGGATGAGGATGAGGATGAGGATGATGATCATGCGGATGAGGATGAGGATGATGATGAAGCTGCTGATGTTGATGATGACCATGAATATGGTCATGATGATGATGGTGGTGGTGCTGATGCTAATGGCGATGATGATGCAGATGTTGACAGTGATACTTGTGAATACGTGTATGACGGTTGTGAGTGTGCTAATGACGATGGTAGTGATGATGAGGATGTTGACGATGATGATGATAATACTGATGATGATGACTCCTGTCTTGGTGATGGTGATGGTGATGACCGTGATGACAGTGGTGATGATGTTGATGGTGATGCAACGATGAAGTGGATCGGGATGACAATATTGCTGATGGATATGGTGATGCTGATGTTGATGCTGATTCTCGGGCTGATGCTGGTGATGGTTGAAACTTGTGTTGAGTGATGATATTATTGCGATGCTGCTGATGATGGTGATGCTATTGCAAAGTATGAAAACGATGATGGTGATGATGATGGTGATGCTGATGATGATGATGACGATGCTGGTGGTGGCAACGACGACGATGATGATGTGTATGATGCTGATGATGCTGCTGATGCTGCTGACGATGATAATGCTGATGCGGCTGATCATGAATATGAAGATGATGATGATGATGATGACGATGATGATGCTGATGATGATGATGCTGATGATGATGATGATGGTGGTGTTGGTGATTGCGATACTGAAAACGAAGATGCTGCTGGTAATGATGATAGCAATGCTAATGCTGATAGTGCTGATGATGGTGGTGATCATGATGATGAGCATGATGATGCTGCTGCTGATGTTGATGAATGCCATGATGATGATGATGATGATGATGATGATGACGATGATGATGAAGATGATGACAATGATGATGATGATGATGATGATGATGATGATGATGATGATGATGCTCATGCTGATGGTAATGGTGAGGGTGCTGGTGAGTTGGTTGTGATGACGATGGTGAGTGTGATTGTGCAGATGATTGTGAGGAGAACTATGAGGTTAAGGACGAGGATGTCAAGGAGAAGGGGGAGGAAGAGGAAGGCCGTCATACTTGACACCTGTTGTTTTCGTCATTTCATGGGAGCCCTCATGGAACTCGCTTGGGCAGTCTTGTGGATTTTGGCGTCCTGTGAGGCTGCCTTGGGATGTCTTGGGGGTCCCTTGGGTCCCTCTCGTTTGCTCCTTGGCGCCCTGTGGGAGGTCCTCTCAGGGGCCCCTTGGGGCCCTCCTGGACGCATGCGGGGCCGCCTTGAGACCTTGAGACCATATTCGGCCGCCTCTGGGCCATCTTGGCCCGTCTTCGAGGCATAGGTGGCCATCGTCGTTCCCTGGGTTGCCTGCCCTGGCCGCCGCACACGCAAACTTCGTGCTGCGAGGGAGGGCGGCCTCGGGCGCGCGGGCACGTCGTTTCTGACGAGGGGTCGTGGCCTCGGGTGCATCGGGGGGTGCACGCGACTGGGCGCGGCGAGAGGGGGGGGCCCTGATTAGAAGTTAATAAAAACCTTGCAGGGCGGAAAGAGCGAGGTGCGAGTGATCACGTTGTGGTGGGACGAAGACCTCTAGGGAGGGGTTCCAGGAGAGGGGCCAAGCGGAACCAAGTCTAGGTAACGCGCCCCTCCCCCCCCGAAACAAAAAAAACGGCCCAAGAGGCCCCCAAAAATTGACAAGAGGTCTCCAAGACAGCGCAAGAGAGGTTCAACGGCTCCAAGCCCGCCGATGAGCGCTCCAAGAGGGCCCAAGAGCGTCCTGCAGCGCTCGGCCCAAGACGCCCCCGAGAGGGCCCCAAGACGGCCCACGGGAGCCCCAAGACGGCTCCGAGACGGCCCCAAGAGGGCCCCGAGGGGCCCTCAAGAGAGCCACACGAGGGCCCCAGGAGGTCCCCAAGAGAGCCGCAATGGGGCCCCAGGAAGGACCGACGACGGCCAAGACCACCCCCAATACGCCCCAAGACGGCCCCAAGGGGCTCCAAAACGGTGCAAAAAGGCCCCGAGAGGACCCCCAAGAAGGCACAGAGAAGCCAAACTCCGCGTGACGGACACAGCAGCTTCGGCGCCGAGGCTCCGAAGGGCTCCAGGCTGCAGGAAACACGTGCCCCTAGAGCGAGTCGGTTGCGCATGATAGCACGCTCCAAAGCTGCAGTCCGCTCTCGCTGTGCCGATCTGTGCTCCCAGCATCGCCTGGGGGTGTGCTCATGGCCCCAGTGCTCCAGGCCTCGCCATCGTGCCGCTCGCCGCCCTCCTCTCTCTGCGCCGCTGGCCCGCTGCACGAGGCAGGCGCGCCGGCAGGCGCGCCGGCGGCCCACGCGAGCCAGCACGCAGGGTCGCATCCTCCTCCTCCTCCTCCTCCTCCTCCTCCTCCTCCTCCTCCTCCTCCTCCTCCTCCTCCCTCCCTCCTCCCCTCCTCCTCCTCCTCCTCCTCCTCCTCCTCCTCCTCCTCCTCCTCCTCCTCCTCCTCCTCTCCTCCTCCTTCTCCTCCTCCTCCTCCTCCTCCTCCGCCGTGAGATCGCCGCTCTTCCGTCTGGACCACCTCTTGGGGCGACCCCTGCGGCGGCACGGTCGCTGCTCGAGGAGCGGTGCGCGCCGCACACCAGTCGTCGTGCTGCTCCCCGGCCTCGTCGCCCTCCTCCTGGGCAGATGCTCGGCTCCTCTGCGTCGTCGACAGGGGGCAGATATCACCCAGGGGTGTGACTCACCACTACCACCTGATCATCCGTCTTCTCCTGCTCAAGCTCGTCCTTATCGCGCCCGGCCGCTGGGAGGGCGGTGCTGGTGTACCCTCCCCCCCCTCCCCCCTTCTCTTCCTTTCCTCGGAGCGTCGCACCTCCCTCCCCAGAACTCCTCTGGCAAATTGTTGCTATTTTGTTCAACTCGTGCCCTTCCCTGGGGCCAGGAGCTCCTTGTTAATGGTCCTGGCGATGTCTCAGGTTATCGGTCCCTTTCCCCTCCCCCGCGGATAACCGAACCTTGTCGTTTATGAAGGACCGAAGGGGGGGGCGATAGCCCGCACACTATTTTGCTCGCAGGCACTGTGGTACTCGCAGCCATGTCATGGCACTCGCAGGCTAGTGGCGCTCGCAAGAGGATGGCGCTCGCAGGCGCACCGTGGTACTCACAGGTACGCCGTGGCGCGAACAGGCAAGCTGTTGGTGCTCGCAGGCGCAGCTGTGGCGTTCCCGCGCTGTTGTGGTACTGGCAGGGACCGACCGGCATGCTGCAGGGCATGCGCGCGGTGCTCTACATGCCATTGTGCCACTGGCAATGGTACGGTTTCCGTTGCCGCTCGGCCGTCGCAGGAGCACTGCGGCGCTGCCTGGCAGAGTGCAGTGCTCGCATGCTCTTGGCACACATGGGGTGCCTGGAGGCACACCTGGAGCTGCCTAGAGCGGCAAGGTTAGGCAGTCGGCCGGCGCCCCGCTCCCCCCCCTTTTACTGTCAGATCATCACTGAGAAGGCATTCGGTCTAGCAAAGCACCCCAGCAGCACAAATGTGAAGAGGCGGGTCGAGGAGTGTGAGGTCGGCCAGTGAAGACGGGCATCCCAACGTGTGCCTAGAGTCACTCCCGGGAGAGGTGCAGCCAGCGCAGGGGTGAGAGCACGGCCATGTGCACCTCGGTTGTTCTGTTCAGTGGAGCGTGGCAGGGACACGGCTGAGAGCACTGCTATGTGCACCGTAGGGTGTGTGTGTGTGTGTGTGTTGCACAAGGGATCGTCGGCGCCCGGGCCAGAAATAGAGCCTGCATTGACGCGAGAGCACGATTCCTAGATGCATGGTCAGGGCGTCTCAGGCTAAACGGCTGCCGGTCCGCTGCCGGACTGGGCGATCTCGGGCTTCCCGTTACCCCGATGGTTACCCGTCGAGTCCGAGCCCCAGCCCCCCCGTCGAGAATTTCGAACTGTCTTGCTCCATTGATATGTTCAGACCGTCTCTTGAGTCGATGGCGGTGCACCTCGTGCTTTCATCTGCCCGCATCTTGATTTACTTTCGCAAGTCCCGGGTTGTGTTGCGAGCGGGCCTCATTATAGTTCGACCAAGATGGGCGTCTGATATAATTGCCGCCGCTGCGCGCATTGCTCTTCCAGGGCCACGCGACGGAGGGCCCACGTGGGTTCCGATGAATTAAAACGGTCCAGTAGAGGAAACAAACGAAGGTTGCAAACAACAGCTAATATTGAATGCATTTTCGTTATTCTCGGAGACGAATGTTTAATGGGGATCTGTCTCGCCTGAGAAACGGCGGCCCCAGAACCGCGCTCGGGAACCCCAAACCGTATACTTCCAGTTACTTCCAGAGGGGCGCCCGTCCTACTCTGGACCCAGGGCCCCTGGTTCCAGGGGGCCTCCGCGGCCGCTGCCCCTGAAGAGTGATTCGTCGTGCACGCTCTAATGATTTCGATAGCGATTGCTTCGTAATGACAAAGTTGCGCACGCATTTCCTCCTCTCCATGCCCTCCAATCGTTCCTCATCCTCCTCCTTATCTTACGTTCTCCTCCATTTCCTCTACCTCCGTCCTCCGCCTCGCCTGCTCCTCATCCTCCTGCTCCTTCCTCCTCCTCCTCCTCCTCCTCCTCCTCCTCCTCCTCCTCCTCCTCCTCCTCCTCCTCCTCCTCCTCCTCCTCCTCCCTCCTCCTCCTCCTCCTCCTCCTCCTCCTCCTCCTCCCCCTCATCCTAGCCTGTG